CAGGAACAGCGGCAGCAGCAGCAGCAGCTGCTGCTGCAGCAGCAAAAGTGCTTCCCACGGAGCCGCTGCTGTGTCTGCTGCTGTCTGGAGGCCATTCTCAATTCTCTTTTCTGTTGTCTAAAGAGCTGCTGCCCCTCGGGGGGCCCCTTAGGGCCCCTGCTGCTGCTGAGGGGGCCCCCCCTGGGGGCCCCCTTGCTGGGGGGCCCCCCGGGGGCCCCCGTGCTGGGGGGCCCCCTGGGGGCCCCTGTACCCCCGGGGGCCCCCGGGGGGCCCCCCCAAGGGTTTGGCTGGAGGCGCAGCAAAGATCGCAGCAGCACTTTTGCCAGGGCGAGGTGGGGGCCCCCGGGGGCCCCGGGGGCCCCCGGGGCAGCGAAGGGGGGCCCCCTGGGTACTGGGGGGCCCCCTTAGATGAGGGGGGCCCCCCAGAGGGGCCCCCAGAGGGGCCCCCAGAGGGGCCCCCAGAGGGGAGGCCCCCAGAAATAGGGGCCCCCCTTCCCTTCCGCCTAGTGACCCTGGGGGAGACCCAAGATGATGCCCTTGGGGAGGCCCTGGACAAAGCTGCGAGGCAGCTGCGGGCCCTTGCTGCGCAGGAGCAGCAGCAGCAGCAGCAGCAGCAGCAGCAGCAAATGCAGCCGCAGCAGCAAACGCAACAGCTGCAGCACCAGCACCCGAAGCGCCAGGAGCAGCAACTGCCGCCGCAGCAGCAGGAGCACCAACACCAGCAGCAACTCCAGCAGCAGCAGCAGCAGCAGCAGCAGCAAAGTGGTGGCGCTTATCTGGAAGCTCTTGCTGCTTGTGCTGCAGCAGACAATTTGCTGCTGCTGCCAAAAGCCCCTCCCTCTCACCAGACTCGAAGTCTGGACTTCAGGTAATTTTTTTTTCTTTTTTCTTTTTATTTAATTTTTAATTTCTTTTTATTTTTTATTTCTTTTATTTCCTTATTTATTTTTAATTCTTTTTTCTTCTTTCCATTTCTTTTCTGTTTCTTTTATTTCTTCCATTTCTTTTATTTCGTTTATTTCTTTATTTCTTTTTGTTTCTTTCTATAGCACTTTGTTTATTTTTGCTGCTGCT